AGCCAAACCCCGCAGAGAACGGATGACTCATGAAAGAACACGAGACGCAAAGATAGAAGGCTTATGAAACGAACACGGTAGCAATGAAATAACAACGAACGTTCCTGGTAGACGCTAGTCATCACTGGTCGACGATATTTTCTGAGTAAAAATCAGAACCCGCCGAGACGCTGCTTGAAAGTGGGCGTGTTGACGAGATTTCGGAAAAATGGCTGCTTCCCGCAAAATGTTAGTGAACGAACGACTTTGTGTGGAGTGTGTTTGAGGGGAGAAGCTTATGGCAGAGCGGTTCTTCCACTTAGTTGTCCGGACACTCCTACTGGTCGTGATGATGGCGAAGGATCTGGAAGTAGCACCGGTGACAGCGGCGGCAGCAGCCTTGGTGGTCAGGAAAAAAAGGACAGAGGACGGGCTTTCAGCGCTCGAGCTGTCATTGTCGTCGACGCCACTGAAGCAAATGGACAATAAATTTAGGAATATCTCTTCTAGAGGCCATGCTCGCGTACTGACTAGGCTAGCAGGATTGGGCTGGTGTACCCCAGCAGATGTGGGATCTAATGGCAAACCAAGGCGAATCAGCAGGGCGGGCAAACACAAGATTTGAGAATGGCTTAAGTGCTAAAGGAGGCAGACAGACGAAACGGCAGCTACTGGAGCAAAGAGAAACAGCGCGGATCGAATGAGCGAGGTTTAGTGGTTTAGGGAGAACAGTCTTTTTTGTCCTTGACTCTGTGTAGCGCCAGTGGCAGAGGGGTTTCCAGAACGAACAAACCAAGGGACGATCCTGGGAAAGACTCCCGCATCACAGAACCCATAGCACGTTGCTCCGTTTTCGCCCACCCTATTTCGATCCCCGCCTTTTCCCGCTTCCACGGTTCCATCACTGAGAAAACGTCGGGAACATTTTCACAATAGATGCTTGATTAATGGGTGAGGTAAACTTACTCTGCTGCCGTCGCCCGCGTGGTCGCGGCTTTTTCAGGATATCTGTGCCGTCATCGTGAGAGAACGCTACCGTGCAACCAACCAACCATCCGACTTTTCGGAGAATAGTCCTTAGACCAGCGCCACTAGCGACAGGAATACAGCGCAGGAGCAAACCATCTTTCGTCTGCAGACTAAATTTATCCTCCTGGCTTTATCGAGCCCATTTTTCTCTTTCTCTCTCTCCACTGTTCTCTCCTCTGTTCACAGAGGGATATCTCTTCCTTCTTCCCCTGTTCACAGGCCACTCCCAGAACGCACAGCTACCGAAATAGGCTGATTGGACGTGTATCTCGACGTTCCTGTTTGACACCGTTCTATGTCCTGTCGACTTTTGACGAAGGCCGCGCGCAGCCTCTATGCTGATGGCAGAGCAGCAGCGACTGTGGAGCTGGCGTCAGAGGCACGACAATGGAAAGAGTACCCACACGGCGACAACTCAGAAGGCATGGAAATGATAAAACTTGGACAGAGTAAAGGGATTTATGAGGTGAATCAGGGCTGATTAGGGACGTTCTAAAGCTAGCCCCACTTAAGTTGCGGCAAAAGCTGGTTACGGCCATAGCAGCAGTAGCGCCAGCACGAAGTTCCAAGCCGAAAGTCAGAGGACAGGCGGGAACAAATGAATACAAAACAGCGAAGGCAGGACAGGTTGGAAAGGTGCCATACGCTTTGCGACCTTAGAAGTACTGACGGTGTGGAAGAGCTAACGGCTAGGAAAAGACGAGCGGTAGCAAATCGAAAGCGGAATAGAGAGGACGCCAAAGATGTGATTAACGAAGGCGGTGACTGGTGGTACTCCTCCGTCGTAAGACGAAGCCTTCACTATGTAAAAGGGACAGTGCGAACACAAAATAGAAAATGGCAGAACGAAACTGACGACAATTCGTGGAAAAACTCTGCAAGCTTTCGACACGTCCTAGCAGAAGTTTCACTTTTTCCTCCTACAACGCTATGAAAAAGGCCACAAGACAACAGATTGCAGCAATGTGCTGCTGCTGAAGCAGGTTTGGACGTGCAAAAGGAATTGCTGCTTGCTAAGGCCTTGGTAGTACATCTTGCAGGTTTGGGGCCGTAGGGAACGAAGTGAGCTGGCTGTCGTTGTTATGCACCGCGCAGCAGGAAAGCTCCTTGACTCTGCCTGAAGTCCCGGCCACGACGCCAACGCCCTTTCAACTGGATTGTTACCAAAAAGGACTACTAGGCATGAAGCTAGTATGGGATGCGCGAAAGAGGGTAGTCGGGAATGGCGGTGAGGGACCGCGCATGCAGTTGACATGGCAGACGGATGCGACCCTCACCAAATAGAAGGGGTTGCGCAGCCATTGCAACCAAACGCAAACAGGTAAAGCTTTGCTATCTGTTCCTACTCTTTTGCTACCGATGCTGCGTGTGATACCTTTATTTACTGATAATCGCTGTTGTGCAGTACCGCTGGCGAGAGCCTTGTCAAGCGGCCTGTTTAAACTTCACCTTGTTCTACCAGGTAGCCTCGTGTGGTTTATGTTGACACTGTTTTTCGAATAAAGCTAGCAGCTGTCGTAGAGGCGTTCGTGCATTAGCGAGAATGAACCGAACTCTATCCATACTATCTTACGAGCATTGCAAACAAACGGACTGAGTAAGGTACAGAATAAGATCAAAAACAAGTATTTTGAACTTGAAGATACCTAACCACTAGTCTTATTTTTTTTTTTTCGTTCACATCGTGTGATATCTACATTTTCTATGACTGGATCTTCGAAATTGAGAAGAAAGTCTTGTTCTATATATATATAAGGTACATAGTAAAGCAGTAGGGTTCGACGGTGCATTTGTGGTGTTGTGATAAATCACTGTTCTTAAACGTATAATTAGGTTAGCCAGGCTGATAGATAAATAAGGCCGAAATTCAAGGACGTTTATCTCGACACATCTTGTACACACCATCCGATAAGCCATGAACTCATCAAGGGCCGTCAACTGGGGGAAAAGTTTCATTAGACAGTGGACCAGTGCTGTAATGGATCAACTCGCATAGCTAACGCGTCGAAACTGGTTATGAAGTAGGGGCTATACGTGCACTGCTACGGGCTATTCCCTCTGCTCTCGGGTTGCGCGAGGCTTGTTGCAGCATGAGTCTGCCAGGTACCAATGTATACAAAACGTCGTCATTTGGAATCGCCCATGCAACGTTAGGTCGGCAGGTCCCTTCACGTTTTACATATCAGCAGCTATGCTGCTAGCCGAGAGAAGGCCGGCAAGGCAATGTGCTTTTGACACCTCTATCGCGGATAAATCAAGAGGTAATATGGGGCACGCGTTGGTACAGGAGAAACAAATGGGGTAATGTGTGCGTTGGCCTGCCAATCCTGCTATGACCGGCTTAGTTTCCTCATCGTTACTGTGCTATGCCTGGTGTTTGTATTCGCGGCATGTTCGTTCGTTTTCAGCTGTGCCCCCATCTTCGCTTGGATCGCGCTAACACAGCCACTGCCCGTGCTATACGTTGGCAAGACCACCAACTAGTGCTGTCCATCATTCTATTTTCCTTATCCACTGTCCATTGATCTTGTTTAGCCGCCATTTCCGATGTCGCAACCTCAAGCGCCAGCATTGACAAGCCGTCCGACGAATAGACGAAAAACATTATCTTAATATAAATTCAAATTTGATTTATCTTTATTGCTAGTACTCTAAAACTTCACGTATACAGGTCAACAACACAATGTCCCAATATCAGAGTGAATACATAGAACTATTAAAAGCATCTGAGATCATATGGATTATAGGAGCCTTGTTGAGTTATGAAACGAATTTAACAGATTTTCTAGATCAAAATGTACCGGGGTAAAAGCAAGCGGCATGTTATATATCATGATTTTTCCGGAGTGCCAAAATGCATCGTGAGGCTCGTGGAAGCCCGGTTTTCTGCGGAGTCAATCGTAAAACTGATTCATGTCAAAGCGAGTGACGATTGTCCGTTTAACCGATTCTCCATCGTAGTCGAAACAAAAAAATGTATCGATTTCCGAGAATTATTGGTCCCTGTTCTAATACATTTAGGTATAAAGTGCAGTCTGCCTGGTGATGGCGAAGACAACCCCCCAGGGGGTCTATTCCACAGACAGGAAAACGTAAGCGGGCTAATCAGCAGTTCGGTTAATCAACCAAATCCAACGATTATTGCTACCACCGGCAAAGTGGCCGCTGCTACTGTTTCTGCATTTGCTTCGATGCTCCCGTTTACCGTGTTTCACTTTTTGAAATGCCCCCCTAACACTCAGTTCGACTGTATGTGTATAGTGTTTTGTCGCAGTGGTTTTTGATGAATACACCGTAATCTGTAAAGTCGTCCTCGTTCGAAAATCTACACAAAGAGGTGAACGCGTCTCATTCTGTGTGACGTTGTCTCTATTATTGATCCACGTTGATCTGAAAGCCAGCCAATGATGGGCGCTTCATGGTGCATCGAAACTGACAGAGAGCACTTCGATTAGAGAACAAAAAGATTGTAATCCCTCATCATGCAGCAATCCAATGATGTAGAAATTCATGTGTTAACATGTGATAAATATTTGGACGTGCTGGTGATAGTTTAAGCAAAAACATCAGATAGAAACTGGTGACCCTTTACCCTCCTGTAGATCTGTACCCAGGGCCGTTCTTGCCTATGATAGCTTAAGTTAAGTTAATCCAAACATAATGAACACAGCATATTGATCATAACCTAAGCATTGTTGTTTGGAATATGCGTACTTTTGATCTTTCCGTTCGTCGCATTATCGCCGACGCCAGAACCCTTTACCGCGGTAGTTTAAATTTCGAGATTCATTACCTGGATTTATGCTACACTTATATTCACAAGTCAATCACCATCACATCAGATTAGTCATCAAGTCGTGTAGCACAGTGTGGAAAGATGCCATCCATTTAACTGGTTTTCAATTAAAGTGAAATGCCAGATTTCTGATTAATTGACGTTCCGGACGTGCCTTCCTTCGCCTGTGGTATACCCGCTATAATATATGACTTACCTTTAACCGTATGGTATGTAAAAGCGACGTACGAAAGGATCACCATGTACAGCATGGTTGGCCCCTGGAATGGTCCTCCTCCAGGGGGACTATCGGCAACAAAAGTCCGTTGCTGTATCCACTAACCGCGGATGATGTTGGGCCACCATTCGTCCACGAAACAGGGGCTTGGCTCATAGGCCTCTAGGCCCTGGAAACCGTGGAGCAGCGGTGGAAGCAGACGGAACAAGACAGAAATCTCTTCGACCTCCACATATTTTCCGCACTCGGCACTCAACAGCACAGCTCCGTACGTCGCTATGATAGCACCATTGGTTTGTTGTTGCTATGATTATTAGTTCCTTAAATTGTTGTTTATCTAGCACGCAACTGTGAAACTTGGGATACCACTGGTGGCCCTTTGATGATAAGGGCTGTGCTTTTACTGCTAGTGCCGGCGATAAGCTTACGCAAAAAGTCACTTCTCTTTCACAGATTTACATACAAGCCCACTCACACATCAACACTGAGAAGATAAACGAACCCCACGATGAAGCACTTCGACAGGGGGAGTAGCCAAAGCGAAGGTTTGCGCACTATGAGTATTTATCTCCCTTCGATAACTGTCGGATTTACACACTTACAAGAATGGCAATGTACGCTGAAAGCGATAGCTCCCAGCCGCGACTATGACCCGTACACTATGTCGTTCCACCTCATAATACCGATTCGAAAGCACTGATATCGCTTCAGGATCTACAGCTAGGGCTTCAAGGGTGACATGACTGTTGCTGTCCTAAGCTGCTGTCCGTCGATTGATGCGCCTGTCTCCACGTATCTCTACACGCAAAATTTTATTTTTTAGAATAATTTGGAAAAGGCTCAAATATCCCTGAGAGTGCAGCAGCAGCAGCTCCAGCACACGATGCTCGTTCTCCGACACCACGTTCAGCCCGGTCTATCGGCGCCACAATGTGTTGTTATCAAGCCTGAAAGACATGTTTGAAGTGAGCGGCATTCACTCACAGCCTGACGGTCATCTGGCTGTTGTAGGTTAGTGTATTCTATCGCGAGAGGATTAGGAATAGCATTTTGTATTAGTTACGCTCTTATTTACGCCATACGCTACAACGATGCAATTTAGAGACAGACTGTATCCGTTAACGATTGCATGCCGACGTGAACACGCAATCATAAATATCGAGCGAGATCGTTGAACTATTGACAGACCAAACAGAGCAGACAATACACGACACACTGACTCCTCACGACTGTGCCAAACTCGCTTGGGACGCACACGCAGCATATAAACTCTACCCATAGCACTCTAACCATACACCGAATTGTTCTCGGGAAGGAAATACCCACAGTGTAGCGGATCGAAAGGAGGACACACCGTTGATGTTGTCACACGCCGATCGCCAACTTCCATTCACCGTCCTACTTTGCACCGGAGAGATCCAGCAAAGGCAACACTAACAGAGGCGGCTCACATACAGATGGACATTGACAGGCATCCGCAGGCGGCAGCGGGAGGAGGACAGCGGTCCGCTGCACAGAGCACCAACCGCCCGATCGCGCGGAAACCGGACTCTCCACATCGGAGCACCTAACGCTATGCCGCGCATGCGCCAACTCTGAAGTAGAGAGGGCAGGAGCGCTCCTGACGAGGGAGAGGGTGCGACAAGCGCCTGGTAGCAGGCAAAGAACACTAGTCCTGAAGAACTCCCTGTGGTGGGGTGGCTTAATAGCAAGCATTGCCTGCATCACCACGTATAGCAGGCAGTAATAGCCATAATACCAGTAGAAATATGTAATTACGGTACACACTAGCACATCTGACACGATATTGGAATCAATATGGTGACTATACCCACTAAGAAAAGGAGCTAGTTCGAAAGAAGCTACGTTAGACCCGTAAACGTTGCCCTGCTGTCTGCCAACATTCGTACATCTTGCTATAGTATATTGTGTTATCGTAACATGGTGCAGACGTGTCTTAAATAATTCTCAATTGAATCTAACTTGGCGACTAGGAGCTTTGAGCTTGCCAGTTGGTTCTACACAGTCAACTGCACGAAACTATTCAAACACGGGAGAAGAGAGAGAGAGGAGGGGGGGGGGGTGAGAAAAAACAGGCTGGAATGGGTTGGTCCTATCGAAAGTTCCTAGCAATTCAACGCTGGGGAGTCGCGCGGAGACCCACCGACAGGAAATATTCCCAAGAGGTGATAGCAAGGATAGCGTATCTCGTGTCAGAGTAAATCGCAGTACACCGAAACGTTACAGCATGTCTATCAGAGTTGTAGTTCGGTCCCATCGAACTAGCGGTCCGCGCGTGCTGATGGCTGTATAGCATAAGTCGTAGCAGGAGTCGCTTAGCAATAGCAGGCAGCCCACAAAAGGCAAAACGCTTACAGGTTCTTGCAACTATAGCCTGCAATTGGTGCCATACCAGCAGCTTGGGAGCAGCTGTTCCGCTGTTACTTTTACGTAATCTAATAAAGAAGTGGGCTAACGCAGCACTTCTCAATGTACACCCATCAGCAGAGCAACACGAACCGGCATTGCACGCTTGGGAGGAAGGCCCAAAAAAGATGACAGGTTCAACGAACGTAGCAGAGCAAAGACCGAATAATAAAGAGAAAAATAATACAAAGGGAAATCGAGAAAGTAAAAAAAAGAGAGTGGCCCTAGCTGAACAACTCCACCAGAGTCTGCGGCAGCAGCAGGAAGAAAGCAACTCAAGAAGAAGAAGAAGAAGAAGGAAAAGGACGATGAAGAAGACAGGGCGCAGTCCAACCGCACTCGGGGGTCACAAGAAAAACTCAGTACCGCCTGAAGATGGGGGCACTCGGTTGCTTGCTGTTGTTACTGCTGCTGCGACTAGGGGTGTTTCGGCTGTTGTGGAAGCTCATGCTTTAAGAACCTTATAGAAAGAAAGGGGCGAAATGGGACAGTCTACCTCTACTGAAGGTGTGCCAACGCGCGGCCACGACCGAGAATTGGCCGGTTAGTAGCAGTGTGCTTTTTGAGAGTACTATCGAAGTACTGCTAAAGTGCAGCAAGTTGAACTTACGATGATTTTCTATCTGCAATATTGAGAGGGATGCGGGATTGTACTGGTAGGCAGGCAGGCAGGCAGGCAGGCTTGCGGGTTGTACAAAGTGGCGTATAGAAAAATACTGGATAAGAATGAGCTGGCTTCATGTGGAGTCTACGTTTGAACGAGATAAGCTATGCTTTATAAAAGTCTAGTACATTTTATTACTAGTAATATGTGTTAATGGTGCAAAACAGTTTATGCATTACAGGATAATTCATCCAAAAACAATTCTTTCCATGAAACAACCGTCACTGTATTATGTAGCTGATTTGATATATTCTGATGTGCCCTTTGATGCTTGGCAAACCCTGTTCAGCCACTGACGCATTGATATGCGGCTAGCTGAACAGCAGCTATGTGTCAAACTTGAATAAGGGTTCGTTTCGAACTGAAAAAATAAGCTAAATTTACATTTCCAAACTATCGAATCTATATATATATATATACACACATATGTGTGTCACCCTGCTAAAAGTTCAAGATCGAAGCTCTCGAGTGATCTACGCATAACAGGTTTGATAAAAGGGAAATATATGCGACATTATAAACCCTACTCTAGTCGCGACATCTATTGCTTAGAACGTAAATAAGTATTGCTTTTGCCGTTGTCTCACTACAGGCCAGTGTGCCAAATTCTATTCGAATAAATAATTCAAACGGGCCAAGGATGCCTGGCGGCGCTTCGAAACTACAAAAATAATTCTATTTTATATATATATATATACATATATAAGAATGTGAGATTTCGCCGGTTTAACATTCTTAATTCTATTGAAGGCCAATTTAAATGGTTCTGAGGGGCTCAGTTATTGAAGCGTTACTACAGCGTCTTAATGCAGTGCGATTCAGAGCAAGAAAACGTCCAAAGAGTCCACTGGATAGTTTGCGTCTTTCATCATTAAAGCGCATAACGTTACAGAGTCCGAAAACGTGTAAGGAAACGTTGCGTTGGTTTTGTTAGAGATGATGAAAATGCAGACTTCCGCGACATTGAGGTCCCTGGGCGGCATCTTAACGGACTGTTTCTGCCTGTCACTTAGATGGCTAGTTATTCGGTCTTACCGAAAGGCTATTCTGACTATCCTGTTACTTAGTGGCTTGCAATCGTCGTTTTCTTTTAAAACAACTGCGGCTTACCTAATTTCTCTAGTGAAATTTACTACCAGCTCACACATATAAGAGCGTCGAACGTACCACTTGGTTCTAACTACGGAGAGGGTCACGACTGAGATAGCTATGGCATTACTTTGACTGTAAAATGCCTAAATTGTTTTGAACGCTTGCGTACGCCTATAGCCTTCTTCGATGTCGTTCATATAAAAGCAAAATCATGAAACAGCCAGAAAGCTAGTTCCTTTGTCGAAAAGAAACATCACACGGAGAACAATATTTATCATCTTTCCTCTAGCTGTACGCGTATGGTACTCCGACTCGTTGTCCAAAGGCTACGTAGAATATTGAAGGCCACGAAGGATTATTAATTTAAGTTTCGTCATCACAAAACTGCACTTCGTGTGAATGAAAGAAAAATGTCTCCCAAACGTATCTCAAGGCAATGATTCATATCTGCAATAACTGTTTGTAGCTTTATGCACTGGGTTTACCGAACCCATCGCGTCACTTGCCGTCCGCACATCCTCCCTTTAGGTTTGTAAAGATAGTTACTTCATAACGTCGAGCGTATACATATTAACTTAAACAAACAAAAAACCATCAACATAGGAATATTCAGTTCAGAATTATCATTCAATATTTGTATCTAAATGTATTGCACCCTCAAAACGCTCAATATTTATCTCCAGTCATCTATAGGCCTTGATTGGAGCGAGCTGCCTAGTGAGTACGTATAAGAAGCGTTGGGTCCTGATGCAGACAGGCCACCACCTTTTTTGTGCCATCGAAAGTATGACTACTAGAAGCTAGTCAGGAGTGCAGGAGTATCGCCGAGGAGATGCTGCACCCACCTTAACCCACTGACGAGAGCCAGAGGAAAGCGACAGATGCAGTTGTGCGTGAGTGGAGATCCAGCACGTTCATGGGGGAGATATAGAAAGGCACCAACGAAGTTACAGCCATCTTCCATCTTCGTGTTCGTTCATACTCGTCTCTGCCTGCTTACTCCCAGGTTAGCTGCTCGCTGGCGTAGTGAACGCGCTACCGTAAAAGAGATCCGATTCTAGCATATTGTTTATAGCTTAGACAGATATTGGTACGCGATTAAGGCCCGCCGGGATTTACTATCGTTGTAAAACCAAGAGACGATGCCGCAATGATGGCTGGTCTCGCTCCTAAAACACATGTAGCGCAGAGTGGTGGTTGCACGAACTCGGCAAGGCGAAAAGACCGAGTAAAGCAGGAAGGAGGAACGTGGTAGGCGTAATAATGGTGGGCCAATGACGGTAAACAAGGGTAAACTCGGGAGATGGGGGCAGGGTATGGGCGTACATAGCAAAGGCGAGCAAGATGCTCTAGCAAATGAGATGAGTGCGTCAGCATAAGGGGTTTAAATTTAAGGACGCTCCAACGTTTGTAAGGAATTTCTGCTTACTGACTACATTCTAAATGGGGTAGAAGGGTGTCGTATGCGGGTAGGCAAGAAGGGATGCGGCAAGACCAGAAAGATCCGAAGTGATTTCGAAGTTTCGTCGTGGTCGAACGACGAAATAGCGAGCGAGTATGAAAACAAGCCGTAAACTGCATCTTGCTAGCATAATTACGACCACGGTTTATTTGTCCTGAATTAAGCCCATACCGTTTAGCTGCTCGGCCGCTTCCCGTTCAGACCGACCTAAAGTGAAAGCCCCAAAAGCATTCGCTGTCGCATGAAGGGAGCCAGGAAGCAGGCCCAACGATGTCCACTAAAAAATTAGCGGGGGCATTTCCAGTGCGTTAGTTTTTCTTTTTTAGTAGTTTATTTGTTGTTTCCAGAGCTTGCTTTCATCCGTAATGAAATATTAAATTTAAAGATTATAGAAAACTAAGGGGAATCTGTTCGATGTACATAATAGAGCGAAGTGTGCTGTGTGGCACTATAAAGTTCCGGCTTGCCACAGATTCCGAAGACATGAGCTTAAATTTCTTAACTGGTAAGTTTCTCTTTTATTGGCCAAGCTTCCCCTAGCACTTTTGTGTCCCCGTATTCCGACCGATCCCCTTTAACGATTCAGAAGTGGGATTGTCCAAACGGGCAAAAGAATCGTCGATAACAACTGGCGTTACGCAACGATTCCTATGATAGTTGTCCACGGAAAAGAAGCACCACTCCGCTCAAACAAGGTGGAGCTGGAAGCTGTTCAGATGTTTCTGGATCTGCCAAACTTCGAATGGTCGAAGGTCCGATCGATAATCAACTTCACCTAGCAAACTTGTCGCTCCGAAGAGACAAGGATAAAAAAAGTTCGAATTCGACGTAAACACAGATGTAAGCATGGTTGT